TCCTCTCTGTGCATTGGCTGCTCTGAGCAGGAAAATTGTCGTCTTGGTGGGCCAGGATGTGCTCCACTCTCTCTCCTTCCCTGTTTGCTCCTGTGTGCTCTGATCAGATGGACCCTCTCCCTGAGCTGTAGCTTCAATGCTGTCCTCTGCAGTGAATTCTTCTGGAGGGAGAGGGGGTGTCCATGTAGTTGGGATTGGGGCCGGTCCCGTGTACAAACTCTTCTTGAAGTGACTGAACTATTGAATTGTGTGAAATGTAAATTATATGCCAAAAATTGTTGGAAAAAATATGTTGATTAGGGTTGCAGTCATCTGAAGGTTTGCCTGGGGCGGAAGGATCTGCTTTCCAGCACACTTGTAAGTGCTGACTGTCTGCCTCAGTCCCTTGGCACAGAGGCTGCTTGAGTGCCATCACAACAGGGTACCTGGCTTCCCCTGTGTTTGAGATCTGTGGCCATTATTTGCTTTGTTTTACCTTGCCATTGTCTCCAGGGAGGGATCTCCATATACCACAGGACTTTGGCCAGCAGAGGGCGCAGGTGCCATGTATGGGAACCAGGTGGTTGACTGGCAGAGTGGGAGGGGGAGTGCTCTAGTCCTGGAAGGCCCTGGGCCCACAGGCCACCGCGAGTGGGATGATTTCTCTCTTCACTTTGTCCAGTGAAAGCAGGACCAACCGTGTCCCAAGCCCCAGTCAGGTGATGAAGAGCCACACGCAGGAGGCAGCGAGGGCGCTGCCAGAGCCCATCTAAACGTACCAAGAGGCTTCAAAAGTTTGTGGGAATGGGGCACCAACCCCCACAATCAAACGGGTCCAAGGGGCGGTTGTGTAAGTGAGGGGTAAAATTAAAGAGACAGCAGACAAGATAAAGTATACAACTGCTCACCTCTGGGACCGCCATCCTCTCAGTAATCAGGTCTCCAGAGAGAGAGAGAGGATATATTTCCAATCACAGCTTATATACATTTTCGGGGATGTGCAAGCCCCCAATTACAGGTAACCACATATGTAACAGGTAGGGGCTGTCCAATAGGCATACGCGTCACAGGAAGGGGACGAGCTAGGGGTGTACACACAATAGGAAGGGGAGGCACTAGGGGTACACATGTGACAAGATGGGCGGATCCTAGATTCAAGATGGCAGCCTAACCTTGGTCCTCTTAGAGTTGGCTTGACCTTGTCCCTGGCTCTCCTTTGGGGGAGCGATCTACTATCCTTATCAGCAGGGAGTGGGACCTACTTAGGGTGGGACAGACTAGAGTCTGACTGCTCTAGATGGCTGATGCCCTCAGGGAGATGACCTCTACAGTGTTCACTTCCCAGTGTGCCTAGGTTACCAGCCTCCTAGGTTTGGCATATATTTGGGGGGACAACCTGGGGAAAAACCTTTCTGTATCCCACATGGGAAAATCCCACAATCTTTCATTCCATTTGTCCACAAGCTCTTTGGATGCCCCTCATATTGGGTACAGGTATCTCCCCTGGGGACCTATCAGATTAAAGGTGTGACCAGTAAGAATGTAATTTGAGTCATGCCTTCTTGTGTATCTATTTATGACTCAAGATACACTGTACTAATCCTGACTCATTAACACATCAGTTCAGATTTACAATAGGTAAATAGGAGGGCAATTACATTACATATCACAAAATGGACGATCATTACATCAGATCACTAAATGGAGGCCAACCACCCGGCCTAGCCAAGAGTTGACGCATAACATCAGCCATCACAAAAACAAATACTCATATAAAACCACCTGGTGGTGCTTTCAGCTAAGCATTGGGTTGCTAGCTGCAAGGCTGGCAGTCCCAAAAGATGAGGCTACCTGCTTCCCTGAAGACATACAGCCTCAGAAACCATGAATCCAAACCAACTACATGGCAGTGGAGTGGACTTTAATGACAGCTTAACAGGAAATCACCAGGTGAGACACTGAGGTCATTTTCACTTTTCCGTGCTCCTGGGAGTACAACTAAACTCAACCCACTGCCATCGGGTCAATTCTGATTTGTACTAATATGGGATTCGGAGGCTATAAATTTTTATATGAGCAGACAGCTTCCGCTGTTTTCAGAGGAACAGCTGGTGGGTTTGAACTGCCAACCTTGTGACTGTGATCCAATATTTAATTGGCAGCACTACCAGGGCTCCTTAGAAGTGCAATTATGGGGACAAAATGGGGACCATCTTAAAGCCTCTTGAAAGGTTTTTCTGTGTTTTGTCAGCCTTTGTGGTTGTTTTAAATAGGTTAATATTTCAATTGCTATTATAGTTTCTTCTCTGGTTGAGCCATGCCAGTGGTTCTGACTAGTCACTCCCAAGAGGGCATCTGGGACTATCTGGAGCCAGTTTCAGTGGTCACAATTGGTGGAGTGCCATTGGCTTCTTCTAGTGGGTAGGGACTAGGGATGCTGCTAAACACGACACAGAGGAAAGACCAATTGCTGGGAAAGGACATCATGTTTGGTAGAGTGAGCAAAAACTAAGGAAACAATCGACGAGATGGAGTGACACAGTAGCCGCAATGGATTCAGGCATCTGTCAGTCAGAGCTGACCCCGGAGCAACTACAGCAACAAGCAGTTCTATTGGCTTTGTGTATTCAAATGGTTTCATAAAGTGGCCGGTATAGAGCAGCATTTAGTCTAAAGCATATTTTCAATATTTGTTCCTTATATGAACAAGGTGTAACTCACTGCCATCAAGTTAATACCAACTCATACAGGATCTATAAGACAGGGTAGAACTGCACCTGTGGTTTTCCGAGACTGTAATTCTTTACGGGACTAGAAAGCCTCATCTTTCTCTCACGCTCAGAGTACCTGGTGGTTTTGAACTACTGACTATTCGGTTAGGAGCTCAACTCTAACCCACTATGTCACCAGGGCTCCCAATATCAAGGTATATGTCATACAATTTCATTATTTCTAATACATTCAAATGACATTTTGCCAGCCTTTAAATATCACTTAAGAAACTCCATGGGGAAAAAAAAGAAAAAAGAAACCCCACGGTATCCAGGATTGATGAACCTTTAGGGAGAGCAAATAGAGTAAGGGTTTCCTGGAGGTACAATGGTGGTGGTGGGGGTGTGAAAGGCAGCTGATGTCAAGAAGTTCAAGAAAGCAAAGAAAGTTTTGAAACTAATTGTGGTAGCAATTGTACAATACTGCTTGATGCGATGGAACTGTGGAAGGATATATCTGTATTAACTCCCAACAAAATGGTTTTGAAAAAAAACAAAAACTACATGGCACTAGACTTGGTGGTTCTCAACCTGTGGGTCTCCACCCCTCTGGGTGTCAAATGACCCTTTTCACAGGGGTCGCCTGATTCATAACAGTAGCAAAATGACAGTGATGAAGTAGCAACGAAAATAATTTTATGGTTGGGGGGGTCACCACAATATGAGGGACTGTATAAAAGGGTTGCGGCATTAGGAAGGTTGAGACCCACAGTCCTAGAGCTTTCCACACTCCTTTGTTTCGTTCATTCAGATGACCCCCCTACCATCCCCCCATGTCCTCTTGAGAGGTGACTTCCTTCACTTTCATTGCAATCCTCATCAGACTGTTCTCTGAGGGAAATCAGGCACGACTGCTCACCATCAAGCTTACACTTGGTTTTAAGTTTGGTTGCTCCCAAGAATTTTGAAGAGCCCCAAACAGATATAAGAACTAGTTCCAAAAACGTCATTTATTTGCTACTGAGTGAATGCTTACTTTGCTTTTGGAAGATATAAGCCACGAGACAAGGGACAGGAACTCCTAATTTCTGATTTTTATAGCTACACCATCGGTGTCAGAAACTCAGATGAGTTCAGACGTGACACAACTGGAAAATGCAGCAAGAGTAGAAAGGTGAATTGTTGTAGGATTTTGTGCAACTGGTTGACTTGTGATAGGCAATTGGGTGAAATCAACACTTTTCCTAACCATCCTAGGAAACCTTATTGGCACTCATTTATAGAAATGGTTCAGGATTTCAGGAAAAGAAGCACTTATTCATAGTTTTTTCTTCTTTTAAGATCAATTTCCTAACTAAATAAAAACTCTAATATTTTCAGACACTTAAAAAAAAGATGAGGTAAGATATGAAAATAATAATTTATAGTTTATCAAGGGTTCAGGAGGGAGGGAAGGGGGAGAAAATGCGGAGCTGAGGTCAAGGGCTCAAGTAGAAAGAAAATGCTTTGAAAATGATGGCAAAAAAACCCAAAACGATGGCAACATGTACAAATGGGCTTGACACAATGGATGACGGTATGGCTTGTGATAAGAGCTGTAAGAACCCCCAATAAAAGTATTTAATAAAAAAAAATCCCTGTGTCAGTTCGTTCAAAAAGCTGCTTAGAAACGAAATTTAAAATGGGCATTCTGCTCTTACTTGGTGCAGTGCAGGGCGATTAAAAAAAAGTCACACCTTGGAGAGACTGGAGCACGGATGCCCGAGCTGATGGTCCCTGGCGTGCGCTCCGTTGCTAGGCTCCTCCTGGGTCTAATGAAGCGCCGCCACTGGGCTCAATTTCACGGCCGTTTCAGCTGTACCGCGAGGGAGTCCCGGGCGGGAGGGGCCGGCGGGATGAGGGGAGGGGCCGGCTTACGCTGGACGTGGCCGGAGGAGGGCATGAAGCTGCGGACACCGGGGGCGAGGAGAGCCCGCCTTGGGCACACCCGGGGGGCGCCGGGTGGGGGCCGGGCCGCCGACCCAGGCCGAGCGCACGCGCCGGGGCCCCGCCCACGTCGGCGGCGTCCGCGCCGGGGGCCTTCTCCTCTCCGGCGCGGGGCTGCCCGCGGCGGCGCCTGACCCGGTGGGAGAATCCCTGCGCGGAGGGGCTGCACCTGGCGCTTTTTCTTTGCAATATCGTGGGGCTCAGGAAACAGGTGATACTCGGAGAGGGGTTCCGGGGCTGGAAGGAGAGGCCCCTGCAGCGTCATGGCGCTGAGTCCGACAGGCGCCGCCGGAGACGCCCAGGCAGGGTCCTGTCTCTCCGCCGGAGCCCAGCCGAGAGGCCCGGGAAGCTTTGGCGGCTCTTCTAGCTCCCGGAACCGGAGGCGCGGTGCGATGGAGGACCTCGATGGGGAGCCGGCGGTCACTGTAAGGACGCCCCGAACAGGCTTGCCTCGTCCTCACGGCCTGAGGACTGTGTCTGCGCCGTCGCTGCAGGCTTGTCCCCCTCTTTGCGGCTCTCGAGGCGCCAGACCCCCTTCTTTGGTGCTCACTAGCCACGGTCGAGGAGAGATCGCGATGTGAACCAGGTGCCCGAGTTCGGCTCCAGCGGCCGCTGGGCTTCTGCTCTTTAGTTCCCTCGGAAACCGGAGATCCCGTTCCCTCCCGCGCCCATCCTGGTCTCCTCTGCCATTTCACGTGGCTAGCCTTTTCCTCTTGGGCGCTAGAGCGGGCTCGGACCGAGCAGGGCTGACCTGTTTTCTTCCAACCGAAGCACCCTGGGATTGGCCTCTGCTGGTCATGCAGTGCGGGCTTGAGGTTTATTAAACGCATTTATTCCCTGTGGACACTTGTACTTCTGTGCTTGCATTCAATCCAGGCTGCACCCTCAAGGGGCTGTGTCAAGTGTGAATGGTCAGTGATGCTTATGAAGCGATCCTTGGGTTAGATACTAGACCATCTTTGGCTATTGTGTTTCCACTGCTTTCCGACTCCCTGCCTCCCCTTTTACCCTTTTCCTTTTCTCTCTGTCTAGTCCCTCATTTTTTATAATCCAAGTCCCATCACCTTTCATCAGGGAAGGCCTTCCCTTCTCGAGGCTTAGAGTTCTGCACCTTTTAGCTCTTGGAAACCTCTGAAAACAAAAAATCACAAAATCAAGCCCTCTTGCTGCTACAGTCTTCCGTTCTTACGCAAGACAACCCCAGGTGTTACATAGTATAACGGAGTAGTAATCTTCTAGATCGCCAGGCCTTTCTTCCACGGAGCTGCTGGGTGGCCGTGAGTCATTGGTGTCACCCGTCACCCAGCGCCCTACCTTGGTACCACTAAACCTGGAAGCTAAACCCACTGCCACCAAGTAGATTCTGGCTGACCGCCACCCTGTAGGCTAGAGTAGAACTGCCCAGTAGTGTCTGAGGCCTTTTTCTTTAAGGAAACAAGTTGCCACTTGTTTTCCAAACCACTTCTGTTGTGCAGAGCAGCCCGACCCTGACCCCCTGCACCTCTAGGCTTATGAATCAGTTAATCTACTCTGTTTTTGTTTGAAAAGTTAACATGCTAACAGTACCCAGCCCAAACTACTGAATAACAAAGCAGTCATCGACAAAGGCAAAACGTGGGAAAGGGGGATCACTTCAAAGCCCAGAAGCTAGAAATGGGACATGTCCAAAGTGAGTTGTTACTTTCTCTGAAGCTTTTTCTGCAGGGTGTCCATCAAGTTCTCCGTCAGTGTTTGCAGAAGGCTTATGCAAGACTATCTGCCTCCCTTGAGCAACTGTTTCCATTTTTTTGTCATCTCACCTTTCTTCTGTGACTGAGTCATGTGTTTATAAAGGGGATGAAGGGTCTCAGAGTTGATCTCTATTCACCCTGCCCCCATCTCCCACCCCCCACTGTGGATGATTGGCTCTGCAGTGGTGCAAACAGTTCTCCTGCCTGGCTGTTAACCAAAAGGTTGGCAGTTCATCAGGGAATCTTTGAAGGAAAGGCCCGGGGCCTCCTTCTGAGAATTCAGCCATTGAAAATCCTGCAGTATGCGTGAGTCAGACTTGATTTGGCAGCTGTTAGTTTGGTTTGGTGGAGAATGACCTTTGATAACCCAGCTCTGTATTGATGTTGAGCCCAGGTGAAATGGGTGAGCCTGGTGGGCAGATTCTCACTGGCTGGCACGGTCTTGGTAGAGCGCCATAGTCTCGCAGCTGAGCCTCAGGTGAGAGGTAACCTTTCTTTAGGTTGGCTCTAATCAACCTCACCAAGAGGTTGATGAATGATCCTGATCACGTCTGCTGTTAAAGCAACTGCTTCCTCAGATCAGGGCGTGTGATGAAGGGGAGTTAGTGATGAGCTGATTCGGGGATATTCCCAGGAGGACATTTGTGTCATTCATCTTCTTATCCCTTTGGGTTTTAGATCAAGGACCCTTAAGACATGGTAACGTCAGCCTCCCCAGAAAACCGGTGTGCTTATGCTGTGCTGTGAGGACCCGTGGAAGGCTCGCTCACTGCGGTCAAGCCACTGCCAACCCTAGGACAGGGTAGAACCACCCCGACGAACCCTTTAGGGGAGTAAAGCCCCATGTTCCTCCCTCGGCATGGTAGTGGTTTCGAACTGCTGACCTTGAGGTTAGCAGCCTAGCTACTAACCACTCCTCCACCAAGGCTCCTCAGGGAAGCCTAGACACATTGAGACTTCACTCATGGCTTTTGTGCCCAAGCCATTTCGTAGGCTGACCACCTTCTGGCTTGTCTTGTTCTGGAATGCCTGTTCGGTACTTTTGGGTCTTCTAACAGTTTATGGGCTCTTGAAGCGTGAGGTGCCTCTTGGACAGCAGTGTGGCAGGTGTGGACAGGGAGCTGGATGCTGGAAACAGACCGCAGACATTGCACGGAGTCCAAGAGGACAATGGGGAGAGGTGACACCAAAGCCGTGGGATTGGGTGGCTTTGGGTGTGTGTTTTGTTTGTTTAGGGCACAACAAACAGGCTGTGGCTCTTTGTTCCTTCCCTTTTTCTGAAGGACTGATCACCGTGTCTCAGTAGTCGCAGGTACAGCTGTCTTTCTCATCAGCATTGTTCAGGGAACTGTTCAAGGAGCCTGGGTGGCACAGTGGATTCAGCACTGGGCTGCTGTCCACAAGCCAGTGGTTCAAACCCAGCAGCGGCTGTGCAGGACGACGATGGATTTTTCTGCTCCTGTAAAGTTTTGTAGCCAGCCCAGGGTGCCCTGTGGGCCCGTTATACCCCCCCGCAGAGGGCTAGCAGTTTCCACGCAGTGGCAGAGGGTTTCCTTGGGGTTGAGGTCCATCAGACTGGGCTGATTAACTGCCTTCGTGGCCCTGCCTTCGGAGATTATACTTGCAAATTACCTGATAAAGCAAGGCTCTCGGTAAGCAAAGGAGCCTTGTCCCTGCAGTGGCTAAAAGGCTTGGCTGCTCACCACAAGGTTGGTGGTTTGAAGCACTGTGCTGGAGAAAGCTGGGGCCGTAGGGTTCTGTCCAGATGGACAGCTTTGTGCACCTGTGGGCAGTTCCTGCAGGGCTGCTGTGAGAGCCATGGGGCTGGTCCGGAGGAGTAACAGCTTCCCTGCCTCTGTCTTACTAGTTGATCCCAGAGGTGAACTCCACGAAGAAGCAACTGTGTTTTGACTGGGGCCCAGGGGAGATGCTGACGTGTGAAACCTCCTTCAACAAAAAAGGTAACTTGTCCTTTTTGTCTCCAGACTCTCCCTCAGGGCCCAGGGGGCTGCTTTTGTTCCTTTTCCTGTCGTCTCCCAGACCCCAGGAGCAAAGGCATGAAACATAGGAAGTCCCTTTTGGAAAACTTCCCTGTTTTCCATTTGTATTGATTTATGAGGCTCTGGTAGAGAAAAGCTTAGAGGGAAAATGGTGATTGTCTTCCTGGTAGTAAAAGTGGGCTTTCTCCATGTTTGAAAACACTAGGGTGTCATGTCCCGCCCCGCCCCTTCCTCTTGTCTAGAATGCCTCCCTCGTTCATGGCAGCCCTCGGTTTGTATAAAGGGTCCAGAATCCGTGACTGGTACTTTGGCACCTGCAACAGGAACTCCCCACAAGGCAGCATCATTTTGGACACCCCCCCCACCCAACCGCACTGGCTCCCCCAACCCGACACAGAGAGAGAGAGACAGACACACACACACACACACACACACACACACACACACGAAAATGCTGTGAGTCCCTTGTCTCTTCATTAGAAGAGGGAGGGGTCAGGAGATGGTGAAGTGATTTCTTGCAAACCTCTTGACAGGAACTTTTCCTGAAAACCCGCGGAAGATTTTCTTTCCCTTTCTAAGGAGCAGATGGAGTGAGCGAAAGTCATACCGTCTTAGCAGCTCATACTTGTTGATGTCATCTTGAAGGGCGGGAGACGCTTCATTTTAGAGGAATTGCCCCTTCGGGTGCCAAGTCCTTCAGGGACGGGCGGGGATGGAGGTCACATACTTGGCTGAGCGGGGGCATCTGCTAAAGAGTCCGTTTTTCAGGAGAGATACTTCTGTCTACATGTCTGGGTGGCACCTTCTCAGTTCATGGGAGGGGCTTATCAGCTGTCCTAGAGTGTTGGAACCCCAGTCTTATTTGTTTTTCAAAGTCATGTTCAAGGTCAACCATTCCGTCTTCTCCAGCGGCTATTTCCTCCAGTTGGAGGCTTCTAGGGCCGCGTGACGGCACCTTTGCCAAGTAACAGAAGGAATTCTGACCTGACTCGGAGGCTCTGTTCAACCATGGCTGGAGGTTTGGCTTCCCAAGGTTTACCTGAGCTGGTCCCTTCCAGTTTTATTTCCCTGGGTGGAGGCAGAAAGCTGTCGTAAAGTTTGCTAGTGAGCGGAGTCCAGGAGATCGATAGTTGTGTTGAAAATCCCCATGTTGGTAATTGGTGAATGGTAATTCCTCCCATTTTCAGTTCTTATTCATGCAATCAACTGCCAGTCTTGTTGACCGCTTGCTCCAGTTTGGGCCAGAGCGTTGGTAAATTAGATACTCGTTTCACGTGTGCGGCGTGGGCTGCTGCTTGAGGGCATGGTGGCCATGGCTGTGAAAACATTTACCCCTTTTCATTACAGCAAAACCAGAGGCAGAGCCCACCTGCCCCTATATCTACATCCTCCGGAAGGACATGGACGTGCACTCCCCGATCCTGAGGAAGCTCTTCAACGAGTCGCACGGCATCTTTGTGGGCCTGCAGAGGCTGGAAGAAGAACTGAGTGGCAGACCCCGCAAAGCCCAGTAAGGCACTGCTGATGGGGGGCGACGTTGCGAAAAGTCCAGTCAAAGGCCTCTTCACCTTTCGGCAGGATGGACAGGCTGCCCGGATAAGGGGGAGCCCTGGTGCGGGTCTGGGGGGCCGTAGGGGCAGCAGAAGTGCCTCGGAGTCACAGTGTCTCTGGAGGCTGGGGAGTGACTTGCCGGCCTGGCAAGCTTCCTGTGTGTCTAGCTCCGCTTCACTTGCCCTCGCACAGAGACACGTGAGGCCGCCTGAGCACCAGATTCGGAAATTAACCATCACCCCCCCACCAAACCCAGACAGTTCTCTTGTCTTGGAAGAGCTCCGTTCAACCTGCCTTTGGCACGACACCAGCGACCTCGGGGTGCCCTCCTCAGTGCAGTAGAGCCCAGCGTTGGGGGTGGTGGTGTTTGGTCAATGGTTTTCCTGGACCCGGTGGTGTCTGCTGGGCTTCTCTACAGGCCTGTCACCGCCTCTCCCTTTGTAGTCCCTATAGCTCTCGGGAAAGGTAGGGACTGTCAATCTTTGCAGATCCCATCTCTCTTCAGACTTTCACCCACGAACTTCAGCGTCTGCCCCGGGACCCCACCTGCAGTGCTCACCAGGATGGCGTTTGCCTGGGGGTGGTCTCTTTCCTTTGCCTTTGTTAACTGGAGTTCTGCTGCAGGGAAGAGCTGTGTGCGCTCCATTTCTTGATTCAGCCATTCTCTATTTGGGTCAGTTAACCCCACTGTCATCACGTCGATTCTGACTCGCAGGGACCCCTGGCAGAGGGGAACTGCTACTGAACGCTTCTGAGGCTGTACGTCTTTCCAGGAGTGGACAGCCTCATGCTTCTCCTGTGGGGCGGTTGGAGGGTTCGAACGACTCACTTTGTGGTTTGCAGCCCAACACTGAACCCACTTCTATTTACCCCCCTGAGCGTGTTGTCCCAGCCCTGGCCCTCCAGGCTTGGGCAGGCTCCTGTCTGTCTGGCACCACAGGAAGCTCCAGGCTCATCTTGGGCACCGTCTCAATTTTCTGCAGGTTGGTTCGAGTGAGCAAGAACTACCGGTCGGTCATCAGAGCGTGCATGGAGGAGATGCACCAGGCGGCAAGTAAGGGCGAGGGGGTGATTGATGAAGGAGGGTCATGACTTGTCCTCGTTGATCCAGGACCTCTGTATCGGGAGTGAGAGTGTTGGAAGTGTCACCTTCAATATCCTAAGGTGACTGATTGACAGGCCGAACCCAAGCTTTTAACTTTCTCCTTCAAAAAGACCCAATACCAAAACAGCGCTGCCAGTGAGTCGGTTCCAGCCCCTGGTGACCCCGTGTTGGTCCAAGGGAAGCGGTGCTCTGGGGGTTTTAGTGTCCTGGCCGTCCAACGGGCTCACCCCGGCCACCTTTGGTGAGCAGTGGAGCGTGTCAAGTGCCCCCCCTCCGTGATTTCATCCTTGTTAACGCAAGTCTTCGTCGTTTGGTCAGCATCCTGAGCAGGTTGATCAAGTTGGTACACATTGGATTGATTGGCTGAAGGACAGGAGACCAAAGGGCCACGTACAGGATCGTTGACAGTGGCATTCCCAGCCTCAGATTTGAGTGTCTCAGTCGTCACAGCTTGGTTGTTGCTAGGTGCCAGCCAGTTGGTGCCGACTCACGGCGACCTTCTGCACAGCAGAAGGACACTGGCCGGCCTCACAGAGGTTCCGCTGGGGTCCACGGTAGCAGCCGCTGTGGGCACCAGCCACCTCAGCAAGGGTTTCCTCTCCTTTCGCTGCCCTTCGACGTCACCACGCTTGATGTCCTTTCTCAGGGACTGCTTTCTACCTTAGTCCTCCAAGTGACATCCCTGCCCTTCAACGTTGACAGAGGCCTTGTGGGGCAGGTTTACCTAACGCAAGGTGTCCCTCGGTGTCTTGGCTGCTGCTTCCATGAGATTGCTTGTGGCATCAGGCAAGGCGAATCCTTGGAGGGCCGCAGAACCAGAGCACGGCGTCATCCTGGCCATCCAGTGCGGTCTTGTGTGACATGCTGGTGTGCTGCACGGGCAGCTTCCAGGGTGCTGGGCGGCAGTTGAAGGTGTTGTCACTTGAGGACTTCAGTTTGGGAACCATGCTTTCCAAAGTTGTGATACTGCCCCCTGGGGGCAAAAGCAGTTCCCTCCACTTTGCCGCGGATTATGGGCTAGAGGTTGTTGGTTACCCTGAGTTCTTCTGAAATGGGACATTGGCCCAGTCAGATCAGGAACCTATGGGCTGCAACAAAGGATGTCAGACGGTCACCACAACCCGAGAAAGGCGCCTCAGGGACAGCGGGGGTCGTTGCAGGGAGCCAGGCGCCAGCCTGGTGCGAGCATGGTGTAGGAGCAAGACGAACGACTAACGTGCCCGGACTCACAGAGACATTTTTGTTTCACTAGCTGCTGCGAAAGACCCAGCCAGTAGCAGCCAGTTGAGCAGCCAGGTGAGTGGGGGCCGCTGCTTACGCGGTGGCTTTGCAGTCACCGCTAATGGCCACAGGTTTCCTCTGGCCAGGGCCAGTTGGGGGGGGGGGGTAGTGGGTCACCTGCAGTTTCCTGATGCCCCCTCCGTGCGTGGTGGGGCCTTGTCCCCCGGGGGGAGAGGGGAGCTGCAGGATCCACCGCGTCGGCTCCCAGACTGTAGGCAGTCCCAGCTGGCTGCTCTGCACCTTCTTCAACTTTATTGGAGCTGGCGGATGATTTCAGGGCTTCTCTCTTTTTTTTTTTGGCAGGGGTGGAGGGTGTTACTGTTTACCAAACTCGGCAACGAATAGGGACAAGCACATTGCCCCTGAAGTCAGCAAAGTACCCCCCCCCCACCCCCCGAGGAATTGTCGAGAGGGAAGGGCAGGCTTCAGGCCTGGTCCTTTCCTGTACCTCCCAACCACCTGCTTTCACTGTACCCACGTGTTCCTGATGTGCCGAATATGTCCCCTAAAAATCCTCGTTTTATTCAGAGCCTCTTTCTAGATCATAAGGCCACCGCACCCCGAGGCTGAGCTAGCTATATTTCTCGAGTGCACTGTAAGCCAACGCCGCCACCATTACCATCAGAAACCCTAGGCTGCCATTGGGCGGCCCGCTGTGGCCCGCAGGCTGCCCGGGGGAGCAGCAGCACAGGAGCAGAGCCTGCCTTGGCGCCCTGGGTGGCTCCCTGCCTCCCTCTCTCCCACAGGTCTCCATCCTGTCAGCCGTGGAGCTCATCTGGAACCTCTGTGAGATTCTCTTCATTGAAGTTGCCCCGGGTGAGCACGCCGCCTCCGTCACTGCATCCAAAGCCACCCTCGGCTCATTCCTCTCGTCTCGCCAGTGGGCTGGGACATGACTTTCTGGGCTACTTGTGCACATAACACTGAGAGATAGTACTAAACACCCAGAAGGCCTTGCGTTTGGTCCAGTCCTGCAAATAGGATCTTAGACAGAGGGCCCTTCTGCCAGATGAAACCGTTAGACCCTCCAAGAAAACACCGTCAAGCTGTGTGAAGGGCTGGGCAGGCTTGATCGCAGAGGGTCAGGGTTCAGAAGGCTCTGGGGATGCCAGGAGGGGCAGAGTGGCTTGGAGAGCCCTCTTGCTAGTGATGGGGGTGGGCCCCCTGCACACACCATCTGCTTGGATTGTCTTCTCGGCCTGAGCTGTGTGCTTAGGCCGTGCTGACTCCAGGATGCTCTCTGGGGGCCGTGGACCTGTTTGCGTCTCTGGGCGGTGGAGGCTGTGCCCTCCCTGGACGCGGGCGCCCTTCTCTGCAGCCAGAACGTTTTCTCCCTCCTGCTAAAGAAGGGAGACAGCACAGACTCTGGGTCTGTCAGCGAGGGCTCTGTGCGGGCTACTCGCCAGGGATACACACCCTCCTACTGCGCCCACCTGGCGGCTCTGCCCATGCTGTGGGAGGGGACCGGCAGCAGAGGGGGAGGTGGGTGACTTGCCACTCCTTCCAGCCGGCCCGCTCCTCCTGCACCTCCTTGACTGGGTCCAGCTGCACATGTGCGAGGTGGACAATTTGTCAGCAGACGTCCTGGGCAATGAGAACCCAAGCAAACATGACAAGTTTTGGAATCTGGTAGGAGCCCGTGCCTGGCCGCCTTCCCCTCCCCTTGGGCCGTTGGCACTGTTGGCGCCCTGGCCTGTGGCTAGGAGCATACACTAGGCCTCCCTCTTCCCTGCGGCGTAGGAGAGCGTGGGGCTGCGTCACCACTCCAGTGGGTAATGCTCAGGAGGCTACTAGGCGGGCCGCTCCACACCGGGGTGGGACTGGCTGTGAGCTGCACGAGGTGGCCCGAGGGGACAGGCAGCGGTGGGAGAGGAGTTGTGTCTGGGGCACAGGAGACCCGGCAGGCTTGCGGGACGAGCTCACACTCCCGCGTGACGTGGTCTGCGTGTCCCCAGGTGACCGTCCTGGTGCTTCAGGGCCGGCTGGACGAGGCCCGGCAGATGCTCTCCAAGGAGGCTGACGCCAACCCCGGCTCAGCAGCCATGTGTCGCGTGCTGGGGGACCTGATGAAGACGATGCCCATCCTCAGCGTAAGTGGGAGGGCGGGCGCCCTGGGCCCGGGGCTTCCCTGGGGCCCTGACACCATGGCCTGTCCCTGCAGCCCGGGAACACGCAGACACTGACAGAGCTGGAGCTGAAGTGGCAGCACTGGCACGAGGAGTGTGAGCGATACCTGCAGGACGGCACCTTCGCCCCCAGCCCGCACCTGAGTCTGCTCTGTCAGGTCTGTGTCTCAGGAGTATGTTCTGTCACGTCTTTGTATCTCAGGAGTGTGCTGTCAGGTCTGTTGGCATGGCCAGGCTGGGGCTGACACTCCTGGACATGTCTCCCCATCGGCCCTGCTGCAAAGGTCAGAGCTTGATCTGCTGGAGGAAGCAGCAGCCTTAGGGGAGGGAGGTGGGAGCACTGAGGCAGGGTGGCACTGAGCCCACCTCCCTCAGATCCTGCTGGGGAACGAGGCCGTGATACTGGAGCAGAAGGAGCTGCTGGGGACCTGGTACCACCTGATGGTGACACAGCTCCTGTACTCCCACCCCACCGTGAAGCCCACTGAGCTGCACATCTATGCCCAGGTGAGCCCGAGCCATGCCACCGGGGTCACCGCAGGGAGGGGCTTTCCTGGGATCCTTCTTCAGAGTTCCCTCCCAGCACCCACCTGCCCACTGGAATCGGACCTTCCCTTTCATCCTGGGGACTGAGCAGGTGGTCACCTTTCCATAGTCTAGCCTGGACCTGTTCCTGGGAGGGGAGAGCAGCCCAGAACCCCTAGACAACATCTTGATGGCGGCCTTTGAGTTTGACATCCACCAAGTGATCAAGGAGTGCAGGTAGGACTCTGGTGTCCTAGCCTCCCTGCAGACCAGCGCCTCTGCCTGGCCAGAGGGAGGCAAACATGGCACCTCTGCAGATGAGGGGAGACCTGCCTACATCGGGGGCGGGGGGGTGCCACAGTCACCACTATTGATGTACCTGAAATCTAGACCAGCAAGTGGGTCTGATTCGCAGCAGTTCCGAATCATGTGTTCTGGTGCACCTGCTCCACGAAGGTGGAGGGGGCGCCCCAGGAAGGTTTCTCAGGGGTCTGATTGTCCGCACAGCAGCGGTGCTGACCTGCAGGGACGGAAGGGTGGCCAGGGTTCTGATGAGTAGACAGGCCTGGGTGGCCCGTGCTGGCAGGCAGGCCGTGGGCTGGCTTCTGGCATTTCGTTGGCCGGGCTTTCCTGATACCCCTGGCCGTAGGGGGTGGTGTGGTAGGCGTGAGTGTGAGGTGTAGTGCAGTCACTGGAGGGCCCACCAGAGGCAAGGCACGGGGCAGTGGGCGCAGCAGGGCCCGCCCCAGGGACGACACTTGTCTCCTTCAGGCTCTAGCCTCATAGTAGATGGTCTGTTTCAGGGGATTCCTCCACTGCCAGCAGAGGCCGCTCGGGAGTTCACATACGCTTGCTCTCCCAGGGGTCAGCTCAGGACAGTGGCTGAGTGCAGACCAGGTTCTGGCTGAGGCTTGGTCGGCCTGTGGAAATTGGTTTCCTGCCTCCAGGGCTACTGCCATGCAGCCTTCTCTCGGGACTGCCGGAGGTGGAGTCTGGTTCTGTGTCCGCAACCTTTCTGTGCAGACACGGCGCCCTTGGGCTCGTTTAGTAGTGTAGGAGCTGCGAGTCCCATTGGTGGGCCATCAGAGGCAGCAGCTGTCCTGGGAGGGGAGTGGGTCCTGGTCCTCTCAGCCACCTGCCACCTCAAGTGAGTGGCGCCCCGCCCACTTCCTTGCCTGTGTCTGACCCACAGCATCGCCCTGAGCAACTGGTGGTTTGTGGCCCATCTGACTGACCTGCTGGACCACTGCCAACTGCTCCAGTCCCACAGCCTCTAGTGAGTTGTGGGCCCCCTCCTGCCCCCGAGCCTGGGTCCCCAAGAGCGGGGAGAGGGCTGGGCTGAGGGAGGGTCCCTGGCAGGGGTTGGCTGGACTTCACTCCTGCTCCTCTCTTTCCAGTTTCGGGTCCAACATGAGAGAGTTCATCCTGCTGGAATACGCCTCGGGGCTGTTCGCGCATCACAGGTGGGTGGGGTGGGAGGGGCAGGCCCTGGGTGCCACTGAAGCACCGCCTGCCTGTCCAAGAGCCCTGGAGGCTGCAGAGGGGTGGGGTGCCTGGCCTGCAGCCCCTCAGGCGTGGGCTCCACTTTTGCAGCCTCTGGCAGCTGGGGGTAGATTACTTTGACCACTGCCCCGAGTCGGGCCGAGTCTCCTTGGAGCTGCACATCGAACGTGTCCCGCTCAACACGGAGCAGAAGGCCCTCAAGGTGCTGCGGGTCTGTGAGCAGCGGGGGATGACTGAGCAAGGTGAGCAGGCGGAGCGGGGGTGGCTGGGACTGTCACTAAGCAGGCAGGATGCTGAGAAGGCACCCAGCCACTCCTCTCCAAGATCAGCGCTGGTGGGGGCAGGTTAGCACTGCGGAGATCAGGAAGTGTACAAACTGAGACAAGTGTGCTGCCTGTAAGCTCTCTGTTGGGTGACACCAAGCTCAGGTGCTGCACTTCCCAGAGGCCTCTGCGTGTTCCCCATTCTCTGAAAGTGTCAGGTCTTAAAGACCCAAGGGAGAAAACTGGGTCTTGGCGCCAGTCCTGTGGGGCTGCCGGCTGCTGGCTGACCAGGCGCCCCTCTCCCCTGGCCAGTGCGCAGCATCTGCAAGATCTTGGCTATGAATGCCGTCCGCAACAACCGCCTGGGCTCCGCCCTCTCCTGGAGCATCCGAGCCAAAGACGCCGCCTTCGCCACACTGGTGTCTGACAGGTGCGCTCACAGTGTGGGCCGTGGGGGGCGGGACTGGCTGGTGGGGAAAGGAGAGGTGCCCTGCCACCACCCCTGTGCCCCGTAGGTTCCTCAGGGACTACTGTGAGCGGGGCTGCTTCTCTGACCTGGATCTCATCGACAACCTGGGGCCGGCCATGATGCTCAGCGACCGACTCACCTTCCTGGGTAAGTCTGCACTGTGCCCTGCCGCTGGGCACAGTGAGGACGAGCTGAGGGACACCTGCCCGCTCCTCCAGGGTGGCCTTCTGAGACACCTGTGTCAAACTGAGGACCCTGCCTGCCAGGAAGACACCCCAACATGCTTTCTCCAGACTTGTGTATTGACTGGGGGGGGCCAAGTACTTTATTCAGACTGAGTAGGTAGAAGACACCTCCTTCTCCACGGACCCTTCATGGGAGCCCACTCATGCACATTACGCTTGTCACACTGGGCTCCGCTAACCCACTCCCACGCCCAGCCTTTCCCCGCTTAGACCACAGATGGCATGTCCTCAGAGCCGAGGCTCTGACATGGTGACAGCATCAGGCCAGCAGTTTGGTAGATGGTGTGCTGGCTTTCACCCACTGCTCAGAGGGGAGCTGCTGTGCCGTTACCCTCTCCATGGGATGGAGCCCTGTCACCTGTAACTCAGCTGACTGGCGGCTCTCATTTCCCAGACAAATGGGGCTCTTCAGAGCGTGTGGAATCCTGGTCTGTTCTCGGATGTGCAGACGACTCCAGACCACCCCCCCCACCACCCGCAAGCTCTTCCAGGGGAAGTCTGGGGTGTCTAATTGCTTAGGGCCAGGCCAAGGCAGCTGTCACCGAGGGGCCACTCGAGTCATGAGGCAGCAAGATGCTCTCTTCCCTCTAGGGAAGTACCGAGAGTTCCACCGGCTCTACGGGGAGAAGCGCTTTGTGGCTGGGGCCTCCCTCCTCCTGTCCCTGATGACCTCCCAGATCGCCCCCCGGTCTTTCTGGATGACCCTCCTGACAGATGCCCTGCCCCTTTTGGAACAGAAGCAGGTATGGTGGCTCCGTGTGGCTGCCCGACTCCCACAAGCGGTTCAACCATGCCTGCACCCGCCCCCACCCCCCGCCCCTGCCTGTGACTGTACAGGCAGTCCGAATCACAGCCTCTGTCCGTCCGTCCCCAGGTGATCTTCTCGGCAGAGCAGACCTATGAGCTGATGAGGTGTCTGGAGGACCTGACCGAAGGCAGACCCACCTGCTCCGAGCCCGATGGCCTGGGACCCCAGGTAGTGGGCTCCTTTCCCTCCTAAACCAAGCCAAGCCCTTCCCAAATTCACTGGCTTCTTGGGTGTCTTAATCCGTAACTGACACGCTAGGCTGAGAAAGTGGGGTGCTCGTGTTCTGGCCCCCCCTTCCTGCCCATACCTCTATCAGAGAACCTAAGAGCTGGTTTATACTGGTTCTCTGCAGACTCTGCCAACTCCTGGCCACCCAATAGGACAGGGCAGAGCTGCGTTTCCAAGACATTCCCAGGAGTGGAGATCCCATCCTTCCCTCAGCAGCTGGTGCCTCGTGGCTCGCAGCCCAGTGCGAGACTGCTGTGCCACCCAGGGTGCCCTACATGCTGAGATGCCCCTCCCTGTGGGCAGAGATCCTAGCTCAGGTCGTAGGTCCTCCCTGCTGGACTCACGTTCTCTTTGCTTCTAGGCTGATGACGTAGAGACCACTAAAGTGGAGATGCTGAGACTGGCTCTTGCCCGAAACCTCGCCCGGGCAATTATCAAAGAAGGCTCCTTGGAAGGTTCCTGAGGCCGGCAAGAACTGCTCTAGCAGTGTATATACATTTCCAATAGAATAAATATTCCCTTTTGTAAATACAAAGTAAGTTCTTATCCAGCCAGAGTACCTGGCTGTACCCTCTCTGAAGCAGAGATGTGAGTTACTGTCTCACCTTATGAGAAGCTGCTCCCAGAGTCGGTTTATGATTTGAAATTTGAATTAACCTTCCGACTCTGGCCGCCAGAATCCTCAGGAACGTGTGTAAAATGAATTCAGGAAACTGCTTTATCAAAAACACTCCTGCAACTCCAGCACAGCCCCACACCCTTCCCACTGGGAACCATGAGTAGCACTGGCCTGCCCCGCAGGGAGGGGTGTGGGGTGCCTGCAGCAGGAGTGCGCAGAGGGGACACGGTTTATTTCACATGCAGCACAACAAGGCCAGCAGAGCCTCGGTCTCCAGCACAGCGGTTTGCCAGAGCAGAGACTGCCCAGCGACAGGGACACACGCCATCTGAATGTCTACAGCTCCAGAGCTTTACGGTGAAGCCCTGGAGTTTATTCCTTCAGCACTGAAATTGATTCACCTTTGTACTTTCCTAATGGGAGCAGAGGAACCTGCCTGGGAGGCCTTGGCCGCCTAGATTCGGGATAAAGATGCCCAGGAAGGGTGGAGAGGGCCTGGGTGTCCTGGCGTGCTGCTCCAGCTGAGCTGAGAAGCTGCTTGTCAGTGGGCAGCTCTGCTTCCCTCTTGGCTTGTTGAGCCTGGAGACGCAGGCCCAAGAGCGCAGCCCCCTATAGTAGTGGGTGGGCTGAGCACTGAGGCAATAGGGTTGGCCCTCATCTTCCTGCCACACCCAGCATCTCGCGACAGTGCCCTGAGCAGTTGGGAGTCACAGCTGGGCCTTAGAGGACCCTAGTGACTAGGACAAGATTGGTTTAGTGCACTGTGCCTGCACCCGAGGCCCTTGTGCAGCTGTGATGTGACACCAAAGCCACCAGGAGGGGAGACAGGGCCACAGGGCTGTCCTCCCCTCAGATGGGGGTGGCGGGTGGTCTTTCATGCCAAGCAAGAGGTAGTGAATTGGGCGGCCTGGCTGAGGGCAGGCCACACACTCCTCTCAAGAGCCGAGCTGGGCCTCCAGAGAAGCAAGGTGCCTGCTGCCTGTGCCCAGGCTGAGGCAGCATCTTCCAGGAGCTTGGGCTCCATGCCTGCTAGATGGCATCCTGGGACAAGCGGGCAGCACCCAGCACGCCAGGCTGCGGTGTCCTTTGGTATCAGTTCCAGGCCAGCGCATCCCCTGACTCAGGCTCACAGACCTTCCAAGGTCTTGCTCCCCTGCTGGCCACGGGGCAGGACAAGGGGTAGAGACAGCTAGGGCTGAGCCTCTCTTTGCAGGGTGCTAAGACAGGGTTCTCAAGGAGGCCCTGCTAGTCTCCTCCCTGATCCCCCCCCCATAGCAACTAGGATTGACAATAAGATGGGGGGGACCTCAGCCTGGGGCGAGGTTGGTGTGTGTGTCAGGTGACCTCCCCCCCATAGCCTATGGCCACTTTGAATCACACAAGTCAGTAAAAGCAAGTCTTCTTGGGGGCAAAGGAGAGATGACAGTAGCAGCGAGGCGCCTGGTCCCCCTTTCAGATCAAAGCTCCAGGCTGCAGGCAGACTCAGGCAGTGTACCTGGCACAGCCAGTTGTGGGCTTTGCAGTGGAGGCCGGCAGGCTCCGGGGTCATAGGCTGCCCCACTGCTCCACGGGAGGGAACTGATCCACCTCGCCTACCTCCGTGCTCAGCTGCTCCCCGAGGGCGAACGTCAGCCGGTAGCGGAGCCGTACCTTCTCCTGCCACAGAGCAGAGCCCCTTAGTCCTGGCACCACAGGACCTGTCTCCCCTGCTCCCACCCCCCACAGCGGCAGGGGCTGACCTTCAGTGGGTTGGCCAGCAGCATGACCTGCGTGATGGCTGCCGGCGGCTGGACGGGGCTGAAGGGGGAGAGCTCTGTGCCCGAAGGTGGCTGCAGCTTCACCTTCATGGACTGCAAACAAGGTGGGATTCCTTTGAGACACACTCTTGGTGGGGACATGTGTACTGCCCTGGGGTGACGTTGGCTGGTGGTACCTTGGGCACGGCGGCCTGCAGCAGGATACTCCTAATGGGCAATGGGGCCGTGTTCAGCATGGACACCACCACCACCAGCACGTCGGGTCTCCCGGGCGGGCACTCCTTGGCGAAGTGGAAGAGGATGCGAAAGCCGTTCTTATCGTAGGCGGTCACGGGGAGGGCGCTGCCTGCAAGAGGGCGGTGCGTGGACATGGGGAGTAGACCCCGGCCGGCCCATGCTGCTCTCAGTCAGAGAGCCTCCCCACCCACCACTCATCTGCAGCACCTACTAGGCTTGATGGACTCCAGGGGGACATGAACGCTGGCCAGGGAGAGCTCAGGCAGCTTTGGGGGGCTGCTCTGGGGCTGGAAGAGGGGGCTGCCAGGCCCAGCTGGGAAGGAGAGCAGAGGTCTGGCCGAAGCAGCAGTGGAGAGGAGCGTGGAGGGTGTGGCTGCAGGGAAGATGCTGGGGGAGCCTGAAGTCCTAGGAGGACAGAGGGCTAGTCAGAGGGTAGCCTGGTCAGCCAGGAGCCAGCCTCCTGAGCAGAGGGACTCCCATCTGAGGGCCACACATCTGTGTCCAGGCCCAGGCCCACCCGGTGACCAGCCCATGCCCCCGCTGCATTATTACACTTGGGCCTGGTCTAGAAGCGGGTCCGGTGAGTCCAGTGGGGCTGGGGCGCCATCACCCAGGACTGAGCCAGGGTACTTTGGGCCCAGTGCCGGGGCCAGTCCCGTGGAGAATAAGAAGGAGCCTGGACTTGGGGCAGGAAGGCTGGACGGGATGCCAGGCATGGGGAAAGGAGGGGGCTGCAGGGCTGCTGGCTGCAGGGGAAGGCCATCTGCAGAGCCTTGGGAAGCAGGGCCCAGTCTGGGGCCGAACAAGTCCAGGTCCGGCTGCTCATTCTGTTGGGGTGGAGACAGTGGGTGAGCACAGGCCCCCAGGAGCCAGCCCAGGACCTATGCACTGGAGGGCTGGGTCTACGCCTACCTGGAATAGGTGCCACTGGTTATTTCCAGCAGTGTCTTTAGGCGGAGCACTGGGCGCTGGGTCAGCGAGGCCTGAGACGGAGACCGAGATGGAAACTGAGCAGGGCCGTGTGCAAAGCACAGCGTGGGCACATGGGGTCTGCCCCAGTAGTCTCTCAAAAGATGGGCCAGCCGGCCTTCTGAGCCCGGTGCACTCGGGATGGGACAGTCTGGGGCCCAAAGTGCCCGCCCCAGTGGGAGATACAGGGAGTCTAGCCTCAGGGATAGCAGGCGTGGATGAGTCCCTCCCTTGGGGGCCTTACCCAAGCAAAGCAGCTCCTCGTCCAGCAGGGAGAGGGCATGGCTGCCACCGGCAGGCCCGGAGGACTCAGCCTGGCTGGAGGAACGGCTGCGTGGCAGGCCTGAGGTTGGTGGGGGCGGTGGGAGGATCGGGATGCCCGAGGAGGGTGGGGAGAGTGTGGGGGCCGGGGGCGAGCTGCTCGGTGGGTCCATCTCCGCCAGGTCGATGAGCGTGCCGTGGCTGCTGTTTCCTGGACACACACAGGAGAGGGCGCTCCAGGTGCTGGGCAGCAGGAGGCATGGTGCCGAGCAGTGCGGGCACCCTCCACCCCAACCCAGGTGGTGCAGGAGCTGCAGGGGACAAGGCCAACCAGCTGGGGTAGGCAGGAGGGACAAGTGTTCCCTCATCTGGCCTCCAGGAGACTGCTTGACATGGCTTGGACTCCCCCGGGAGCTGCCACTGGTCAGCCTGCACCCTGTACCAGTGGGCTGGGATGAGGAGGAAGATGATGAGGCTGGTCTGAGGGGCCCAGATGAGCAACCAAAACATTTTACCTTCCGGCACAGGTGGGGCTGTGGTGGCCATCTCTCCGTTAACGACCTGCCCTTGGATAATTGTTTTGTAAGAGTTGATGACCCGGGACAGGTTGTCACTAGCCTGCAGGATGTCCCCTAGAGCCGAGAAAGAACCCTCACTCCTGGCCGGGACTGCTTCCACCAAACTCAAACCCAAACCCATGATCGAGTCAATTCCAATTCACGTTGAAGAAAAGAAAAAAAAGCACTGATGTTGCTGAGAATTCACAAAACATCTAACTGTTCCGGTCCCTCCACCCGTACAATTCCGCGACATCGACGTGTGCAGCCAAACGCTCCGCCCCTTACCACGCTCCCCTGCCCTGTCCTTGCCCAGCTCTCCAGTGCTGCAGTCACAGGGACCCACGCAGACACGCGTGGACGAGCACGATGCTCAAAGGCACTGCTTTCTTAGCTGAACTACGGGCTGGTTTTCGGAAGACTTGAGGGAATAGTTCTGGTTTGAGGCTCAAAGAAAATCTCAGGGCCATAGTTTGCTGGGTTCATCTGGTCTCCATGGCTCTTCTCCCTTTTGATGAGGATTATTTTACAGACTCTGGTGAAGAGTTCAGAAGGGTGGCCACAGCTGGACTCTCTATGGCAGCAGACCGGCCGGGCTTCCTCCCAGAAAGTAGCTGGGGGGGTCACAGGGACCGCCTTGCTCACTGCATGACCTCACACACCCTTCCTCACCCATGCCGTCCGTCTGTCATCCAGCCACTTCTCCTGCCCTCACCCAGGCTGCTGTCGTTGTCCTCCGTCTCGCTGGCCAGCTTGAATAATGTCCGCCTCTTGTTTTCACACCGATCGAACAGCTCCTGCAAGAGCCCAGTGTGAAAGGCAGACCCTCCGTGGCCTTTCACAGGCAGGGCGCCCCGAGTCTCCCCACAGTGCTGACAGAACTAGCAGCCACTCCCACACTGTACCCGCAGCACCGAGAACCGTGGTGCCGGACACGTCACTGCCTAGCACAGACCTGAGCCTAAGGGCAGCAGGGAGGGCTGAGGGCATGTCAGAGTCTGGCTCACATTCTACCCCTACTACCCAGAGGAATTACCTCTCATGCTAAACAGGGATGCCACCACCCAGGTGCCTGGCTCCTGGGCAGACCCGTGAGTCCACGTGCCCCAGTGTGCACCAGGCCTGGCCGGAGGCGGCCCACCTGCATGAGCTCCTTGTCCGCCTCGGAGGAGTCCTCTCTGCGGTAGTGCAGCAACATCTCGTGGAGCAGTTTGACGTTGTTGTTGACCTCCTCCAAAGTGTGCATCCGCCTGGTCACCTTCTGGATGCGGGCCTCATCCTGTGCCATGGCCGAGGACAAGGAAGGACAGAGCTCACCACCCACAGCCTTCCTACACCCTCCCCGAAGCCTGCAGGTCAGCAGAAGAGAGCTCCTGGGGAAGGCACGGTTCATTCCACCCTGTCTCTTTAGGAAAACATTCCCAGCCCCTGCGGAGCCCCCACATTGGGCTTCATCAACTCGGCTTCTCCAGCGACCCTGCTGGCCTCCAGCGATGGGGGAGAAGGGATCGCTGGGCCGGGCACACTCACCTCCTTCACCATGGACTTGATGAGCTTGTTGGCCTCTTGCAGGTCATCTGGGTTTTTGCTCTTCAGCAGCTTGGCTAAAAGCTGGAACAGGAGGGTATTAAAGGTGGACAGAAATGGGAAGCCCCCCCCAACCATACTCAGGGGACCAGAGAGGCTGGGCCACCACAGCCACCCCTGTACCTTGGACTTCTCTTCGTCATCAAACACAGGGTTTTTGGGGCGAGGGGGTGGAGAAGGGATGAGGGTCCTGTCAGCAGGAATCGGGGGGTCAGAATGCACAATGCCTGCAAGGAGACAGGACATGAGCTCACATGGCCTCAGGTCGGGCCCCTGTTGGTTTGACCCCCAACTCGGGCAATTAGTCCAGCGAGCAGGACCGGCAGCGGAGACAGGGTGACAGCCCCATCAAGCCCAACCCCTGTGATAAAGGCTGTTTGTCCCAGAGAGGGAGCCTGGACCTGCCCCCCCACTTGCAGCCACTTCTGGTTAGCTAGGCAGCTGAGGGTCCACACGGACCTTGTCTCTTCAGCATGTGGTAAGCATCCTTGATCTTGGACTCCTCGGGCAAGGCCAGTGTCCAGCTATAGAGCAGCTCGATCACCTTGGTCTTCACTCGCTCCGACACCCGCTCCCCCAGGTACTGAAGGAAAGGAAAGGGAACAGGCACTGGGAGGCCCTGCAGCGTGGAGCCCGGGAAGGCGGTGAAGGCCCTTTCCTCACAGCTCACAGCCATTAACGCACGGCTAATTAGCTCCCTTCCAGGAGCCCACTCAAAACCCAAACCAGCAGGTGCATGCGAGACAGACGGGGGAGGGGCAGGCTGCTGAGGTGCAGCCCTGCCAGCTGGGAGGCCGTCTGTGGTGGGGAGGGGGTGACGACACAGGGCACATGCCCAACTGTCAGAATCAGGCCCATGTTTAACATCCTGAGCAGGAACGAGGGCTCCCTCTGCTGGGGCGCCCAGAGCTAGGCAATGCTGACCAGCCGGCAGCTCAGTGGTGGGGAAGCCGGCTCCGGGTCCCCACGTGGACAAGCCAGCTGTGTGCAGGCTTCTGCTGTGAGCATGGAAGCCCCTCAGGCTGCAGACCTCCCTCTCCCCAACAGGGCTCCATGGTGGGAGGCAAAGCCTGTCTTTCCAGGGTCAGGCCTTGCCGGCCGATGGAGATGCTGGCTGTGGACTGCGAGAAGGACCATGGGGAGGACCCAGAGGTCGCCCTTGGAAGGAGGGCCTTGCCCGGGACTGACCTTGGGAGAGACGACTTTGATGAGCTCATTCAGGAAGCGGAACTTGCCCACTTCATTGTGGAACCTCCGCCCGCAGTTCTTCATGCATGCCTCCAGCACCTACGGGGGTGGAGTGGGGGTGGAGGGGCTCCTCAGGGGGCAGACCAGGGACACCAACAGAGCAGCTACATGGCGCATCCCTGTGTCCCAACCCTCTTCTGGGGGAAGCTGAACAAGACGTCAGGAAGGCCACACCAGGGTCTGGAAGGGTCCGGGAGGGTTCTGCTCGAGCTTTGCATGTGAGGAAACTGAGGCCGAGAGAAAGTCTCTTTGATGCATGCTCTGGGGCTCTTTCTGGGTGCTGGCCAACAGTTGGGGGCCGGGAAACAGGAGATAATGGGAGAAGCCCCGGTGGCAGGTGGCACGGCGTGAGGCTTCCAGTGCTCAGTGGTTTGAAGCCCTCTCAGTTGGCTGGAGAGAGACCTAACGGTCAGCTCCCATTAAGACTGTAACAGCCCAAGGTGCTCGGCCGGTGGGAGGGCGGGGCACTTCTCCTGGGCCTGCTGTTTGAATTCCAACACTGTCTGGTATCCCACTCCCTGACCGCTTCATGCCTTTTCCTTCTGGCCGGGAGAAGCCCCCTAACCCTTCCCAGGGCCCTGCAGAGCCACCGAGCTCGACACGGCCTTCTAGTGGTGCCACCCCACGGTTGGGACTGGCCTTTTCTAACCTGACGCCCAGCCTAGGCTCCCCTGGGTACAGCACCCACTGGAGCTCCGGCCCGAGCGTGTACCAGCAGGACTGCCGCCAGCTTCCCGAGCAACCAGTGGGCTTCCAAGTTCCAGCATCCGTCACACTCACCTCACCTGTTACATCCCGCGACCGGCGCACCGGGGTGGGGGGTGGGGTGGGGAGACGAGGTTGACTGCCTATCAGAATTGGCAAGGCAGAGATGCTGCCCCAGCCAGTGGGGGTGTCTCCCCAGTAGGGGACAAGGGCCGTGCCTTGGGCACCTTCCCCAGCACCTCAGCCTCGCGCCCCAGCCCAGGGGTGTCACACGGGCAGGAGCACATGCCAGTCACCTGAGGCCTCATGCCTGGCAAAGGACACACACGGGCGTGGGACTGTCGGTGACCATGAGTGTGTGCACACATCCTGCTGTCCTGGAGCGTGAGTGCCACATCCTGCTGTCCTGGAGCGTGAGTGCCGAGCCCCGATGAGCATGTGAAGGGGGTCTGGGCCAGAGGTGACCCCGCCCCTCCATCTCCAACAGGAAGCACCTACCGTCAGGGCCTGCACTGCCTCCCATTCCTGTGGGGACTGGATCTTGTGGGCCAGCAGCCGGACCGAGATCTGTGGCCTGGAGACAAGCAGGGCCCCTGTGAGCGCTTGCCTGTGTCCAGTCAGCACTGCCCATGCCCAGCCCCCTCAGCGCTCTCGAGAGCCAGACTCACCCCTCCAGCTCCTTGTTGATCTGGTCACAGAAGCCGATGATGTACTCCCAGTCCTCCTGCCGGTTGGAAGGGTTGGTGGCTTTATCTTGGGAGAGAACAGAGGGCAACTGCCATCAAGAAGCAAACCCCAAACCCAACCAGCTGCACCGACCCGATTTCGGCTCAAGCATCTCCACACCTGACATCTTGGGGTGCAAGGGCCCCAAAGGGTTTCGATGGCTGACGTTTTGAGAGCTGGGGACCAGTTCTTCTGAGGGCCTCCTCTTTTGGGATCAGGGGGCGGGCCTTGTCTACAAGGAGCACGCGGCTCATTGGAGGTCTTCACTATGTGGAAGCCGATTTCCAGACCCGGAAGTGAAAGGATGCTTGCTTGCAAGTTTCCCCCATGGAGTGGAGGAGCGAGACCAGCCCCCACCGCTGCCCCTCGAGCAGGGCTCTCAGAGTCCCAAAGGCAAGGGGCAGCCTCCTCGGACAGTGCGAGTGACTGAGACGCAGCGACTGCTGTCAGAAAGGACATGCAAACACGGCAGAGCCCACCCTCAGCCGCCTGAAAACTTGTCAATCACCCCTAACCCAGCAAGCAGGGGTGAGGAGGCAGTTTTTCTTGGAGAAAGTGAAGTCGGACTGGATGAGAGGAGAATATGCAGACTTCGGACCACAGTAGGTGGTGGTCGCTGACAGCCAGGTGGGTTCTGACCCACAGGGAGCCCTTGTGACCAAGGGGGACGAGCCGTGGGATTTTCCTGGCCACCATCTTTGTGGTAACAGACGCCAGGCTGTGCTTCCGAGAAGCAGTAGGGTGGGTTCGAACCACCAACCTTCCAGTTAGCAACCACTGTGCCACCAGGACGCCTTTAAAAGTATGATTTTTATTTTACCTTCAAAAAAGAGGTCTCTAGACTGGTAGGGCTGTCAGGTAAGCACTGAACTGAAAACCACAAGGTTGGTAGTTCAAACCCACCTACTGCTCTGTGGGAGAAAGATGAGGCTGTCTGTTCCATCAAGATTTATTAGAGAGGATTGATTAGAGTCAGGATCGAGTGCGCGGAGTGGGTTTGGTCTAGCTTCCTTATGCTGGAGCGCTGATCACACCGCAGTTCGAGAGCAGTTCTAGCGGGCAGCCTGTGAAGCAGCTGTTTTGCATCACTGACACCGACCCCTAAGGTCGATGGGCTCCCCGCTGCGAAAGACCAAGGTCTGGGCATCCTCAGAGGAGTATGTTCACAGCTGCTTTGGGTCCTCCCAGAACCTGTGCTAAATAAGCAAGGATGACCCCAGCTGACGGTGGTTAGAAGCCTTCCCGTTTAGATCCGGGCCGATCTCTTCCACAAAGCACGCCCAAGCTCTCTGCTAAATTTAGGGCTTCAGGTTCACAAGACAAATGGAGGCACAAAGACACACCTCCTTTCAAAACACCTGCTCTCTCTACAGGCTTCCACCAGGGGCAAAGGCACGGCCACAGAACAGGGGTCTTGCTGGAAGCTTCCTCACTGTTTCTGATCCCTCCAGAATGGATGCTTTCTGAGTTTCTTCCTGTCCACGAGCAGTCCTGACTGGCCGGCCTCGGCTGGATGACCAAACCCTACTGGAGGCTCCCTGGCTCCCTGCTGAGTATATCTCACTCTACGAGCCATAAAAAGCCAGCAGCTGCCCCCTGAGGGCCAGGGCGGTGGCTGGGTGGACTGGGCACAAGGCTAGACTCAAGGGGCTCGGGCTTTGCCCAAGAGGGGACCCGTCTGGTGATGTCCGGTCACATGTGGAGGGTAGGCGGCGTGCCCATCCTTGCTCTTGAAAACAGAACTGGCAGGCCCTGTGGGATGTCAGACGAGGGGAGGAGAGGAACTGGGCCCAGGGAGACCCTTGGCGAAGAAATGCCTGCTGTGAGGGCCGAGTGGCCACCTCCTGAGAAGCCCCTGCCATCCATCGTTGTCGGAAATTTCCTCAGGTGTTGGCGTGGTCACGACTCCCTGCCATCTGAGATGTTTCTCACAACAAGAGGCAGACGGAGACAAAGCCAGGCCCACCTGCATCAGTGTGACCCCTCAGACCTGCCCCAGACTTCAAGGCCTAAGAAAAGCCCCCACCCCAGGTCCTTATCGCCCCCACCCCAGGTCCTTATCACACAGCCTGGCAAACGTCCTCTAGCCTGGAGGCTTCCTAGGACACCCCTCCAGCTCTGCCAGTGTGCCCACCTCCTCTCAAATTCCCTCCCTTCCGGCTTCTGAATGCGTGGGCACCGATAGCTCTGCTTCTGCAGCTGGGCAGCCCCTTCCCAGCTCTCCAGTCAGGAGACAGGCAGACCCCTAGGGACAGTTCTGGGTGACCACCCCCACCCCACCAGATGCACATACCCTCCCAAACCCCATCAACTTCCCCGTGCACCACAGGGCCAGCAGCCCCTGCCTCTCCAGGCTCCGCTCTGACTCGTGGTCTGACAAGCCTGCCTCCCATCTGAGTCGGGGGTCTGTGCCTCTGGCCATCGTTCCAGAGAGCTCTTCTGGAATTCTCTCACCAGGCTCTGATAAAGGGAGACTCGGGGCACCTCCCAGCCTTTGCTCAGCGGCCTGAGAACCCCAAGCCCTGCGGTGTGGCTCTGGGAGACTAGAAAAGCTCCCCTCCTTGAGGCGCTGCGACCTCCCGGTGCACAAGCCAGACAGCATGCAACTCCTTACTGCTAACTGGGCACAGAAACGCGTCTAAAACCCACCACGTCACTTCAGGCTTCCCTGTTGCTCTCAGTGGGACTGTGGACTGCTATTCAAGAGCACCCTTTGGCCCTTCTCCTGGCACCCAGGTTTGAAACTCCACCCCTGGCTCCTCCTCTCTCCCCCTACCCATTTTCCTCAGTCCCATGACCCTTCCCAGGAGCTGCACACACCCTGCCTGTGGACCCTTTCCTTGCTTGTCCAAAGTTGACCCAACCTTCTGACTGCCTACCTGCTTCTAGAACTTCTGTTCCAGTCCAGGCTGTATGAAACTGCAGTGGGATGGGCCGGGTTGCTATAGCCTTGCCCGCCCTGGTCTTCTGGCAACTGAGTGGGAGGACTATGCAAAAAAGGTGCTTGTGGCCCACCAAGGGTCTTGGTCAGTTTGCTACCAATGCAAACTAGGTGCACAGCACTGTTGTGGGGGCAGGATTACACTGTGTCTGAAACTGTACCCAGGGGATTGTTACCTGGTTTTGTCACTGCACTGGGCTAAACACGAGCCATCCCAGAGACAGAAGTGGGAAGAGGCGGAAGTGGAGCGAGAAGGCAGCAGATGCAGGCAGCCCTACCCTAATCCATGGTCGGCCGGCAGCTGGGGAAGGGGGTCTGGTTTACGTTCCCTTCCCTGACACTCCTCAGAAACATGAGGGCTTGTGAGTTGCGTGAGGGCCAATGCGACCCACAACTGTGCCGAGAAGGAAGCATGTGGTGGGAGGGAGCGCTGTGGTCATAAGTGGCAAAGCCGCCACCTCAGGGGCCAGCCTCTGACTGTGCTCTCCAGGTGAGATGGAGACCCCACACCATTTCTATAAAAACCCCTCTGGCAGAGCGGGAATAGCTGCTACCTGTGGGGACACAAAGGAGCTCTGGCGGTGGTACGGTTATGTGTTGGGATGCTAACCACAAGATCAGCAATTCCAAACCACTCCCGGACCTCAGGAAAAAGATGTGGCTTTCTACTCCTAGTGTGAGTCTCAGAAACCCACAAGGGGCAGTTCTACCCTACCCTATAGGGTCGTTATGAGTCGGCATTGACTCAAGGACAACAAGTCGGGCTTGGTTTGTTTAGAGAAAGGGAAGCTTCGCAGACCAGACTCGAGTCTTCCTAAAATGTGGTCTTCCCATCGCAGCTTTCCCTCTGAGTCAGTTAATTGTGCCAGCCTGGCCGATAATCACATGTGGGGCTAATTGAAAGGCGGAGGGGTAAATGGGTGGTGAGCCTCACTTTTCTAGTTATCGGGTCTCTTGCTTTGTGATAGTCGCACCAGGGTGCAGCTGCCTTAGCAGCTCCCTGCTTCAACTTGCAAAATTGACTTCCTACAAGACATCCCCAAGGAGAAGCCGCAAGGATCTATCCTGATGCAGCCCTGGGTGCTGTGGAGACCCCTGCTAGTGCTGAGATGCTTGTTCGTTCACTGACTCAGCTTTCCTCCTGCAGTCGGCATCATTGCCTCTGTTTTGTGAGGTGGAGGACTTTGTGGACTGGTGTTGGGTTAATGTTGGACTTGTGGGCTTGGGCAGCACACTGGGTTGGGATGTTTTCGTGATGCACATTTTCTTTACATAAAACTCTCTCTTATCCATGAGTTGCTGTGGATTTGTATCTCCAAAGTATCCAGACTAATACACCCTCCCACAATGCCCCATGGGACCACTCCGCCTGCAGGTGCCAAACGCTTCTCCCTCGCTCCACACCACTCCAGGGCAGGTTTTTAGCCAATGTTCACTATTTTAGCCCTAGTGTCACCTCCTTGTGGGCTGAGGGAGAGTCATGGACTGTGCACCTGGATCCCCAAGACACTGCCCGCATTTGGGCGCCCAGGTGACTGACTGCCTTATGCCAGAGTGCCTTCTCCACCCCCAGGGCTGCCATCAAACTCAAGGGAGAGACCTCTTGAAGGTGAATTTCTGGTCTCAGGACACTTCACTAATCAAAACCAAAAAAGCCTAAAACCTGTGTTGATTTGAACTCCCGGCAACCCTTCCCAACAGAGGAGAAGGCCTCCTTAGGGATCCAAGCTGGTCTGCTAACTGTGAGGTTGGTGGTTCAGGCTCACCAGCTGCTCCACCAGCTTGGATCCCGACCTTGTACTTGCAGCCCAACACATAACCACGACACCACCAAGGTTCCTTCAACTAAGCAACTGTTAGCCCCCAAAATAAAGAAAGAGAATGTGGGACTCAAGTAGGGGCCATATGAGCTCATTTGGACCGCCATGGATCTGTGGTGTCCATGAGAACTTTAAGGGGCTGAGCGCCTGTTGTTGTTGTTTTTGCGCCTGTTTTTATATGAATGGTGATATAGAATTCAGGGAGACTTAGTGAGAAGGGCGATACAATGTGAAGTCTGTAACCAGTGTCATTGAACGACTCACTCACGTAGGAGCCATGAATGACCATGTTTGGGTGTGTCCACTGCCAAAAGAGCAGGCTGTCTGATTGGAGGCCGTGGAGCCTACTTCCCAGGATGCTGCTGACCGGTGTCTACAGAGCCCTGTGAGGTCCTTGGTGAACAGTTCCACATACACAGAAGGCTTTGCAAAGACCTGCCTGCAGCTGCCGACTACAAAAACAAAAAAAACCACCCATGCAATTTGGCATTTTCTGCCTCCTGGGAGGATGTACACCCCCTCGCCGAGCCCCAGGCACTCACCCTCCTGAAGAGGGTGTGCAGAAAAGGTCCGGTCATTGGGGGAAAGAGAAGAGCCAGCGCACACGGCTAGGGAGCTAAGCATCTGACCTCTCCTAACACTGTCCGGCTTCTCACTCCTGGTGCCTCCAGGGAAGCTACTCTGCAGCGAAGTGCACTCATTAGCCTTGCTCAAAGTCCCATCCGCAAGGTTAACCCACATTCCCTTCACAGCAAGCTCCAACGACAGCGCCTGACTCTGCCCCCCCGCCCCCCATTTGTGCGCAGTTTCCTCAGTCCTCTCCTCAGGATGCGCAAGAACAGGGGGGCGGGCAAGGACACAGCGTTCACCCCGCACACCCCGCTTGGGTCACGGCGGGAGAAAAGGCAGGGGTCTGCCCCCCAGGCTCCGGCACGATAAATCGCTCTCCCTTCACTCGGCCTGCGCGAAGAGGCCCCTCTTCCTCCCCGACCAGTCCCGCTTCGGAAGCTGCCAGGCGGGTCCCTCCCGGAGTTTGGGCGCACCCGGGAGGGAGCCTTCCCTCCGGCAGGGACGCGCGCCGGGCTCGCGGGGCCACAGCCGTCC